TGCTTCAAATGAAATAATTTAATAGTAAAAAAATTAGTCAATGAAATTTTATAGTACATTCTTCAAACAAATTTTCGATGAAATATGACTGTTCGGTCTTAAGCAAAACGCCATCTGTTGTAATTGCTTCGAACTAGTCAGTTGCTCTTGAACTCTTGTTTGAGTCAGTCGTGGCTACCATTGCAATAGTGCAATGATTTTGGTTTGATTATTTACAATTGTTAAGTAAAGTATTGTTTGTTAAACTTGTAGTATTCAATGAACCAGCGCATTGTGTACAATCATGTACAGGAACATCTATGAGATACTGTTTTAATTATATTCATAATAAACTCTTTGTAATAACAATAATTACAATAATGAATAAGAGTATTTGTTTTATAATAAATATTAATTATTTGAAAATATAGAAAACATTAAAATTAAAATGTTCTTTGGTAGAAGATGTATAGACCAAAAGACTGCATATGTGGAATGCTCAAAAATCGAGAAAAGTGCACATATTTTTCAAAATTCTATAACTTTGTCAAAAAAACTCAAATCGATTTGAAATTTTGAGGGCTTGCATAGAACAGTTCGAATAACTATTTTCTATTTTCAGAAAGTACAAAAAAATTTTTTTGCGAATTTGGCAAGTGTTCAAACTTAACAAATATTTTCACCATAAAAACAACCTATGATAAAAAGCTAGATTCAGTTCGCCAAAAACAAATTATTGCAATTTGATCATATGTAACTAACAGTAGAGGGTTCAGTTTAGAACATATCAAATTTTCATGCAATTTGAATGATTTTTCGCAATTCTGTGAACATTTGAATTTAGACCATTTCTTTGTAGATTTCAAAATTTTCGCAAACTTTTGACCGGTAGTGTATATGTATATATTATATATATATATAGCATCGTGATATTAACAAAAATTTTATTAACAGCACTTAATCCTAGTTTCGAATACAATTTGTGGAATTTCTTTAAGTTGCATAATGAGTTAAAAATTATTCGTTTTATATTGTTAAAAATTATTTATTATGTATTGATGAGGCTTAAATTGTTAAATGCGTTAGACTATTACAATGCTTTACATAATCTATTCATCAAAGTATTGCGTAACTATATATTTCATTTAAACCGACCATTTCAATTGTTCTTCTATTTCAGGCTCATGCGTCGCTGGTGTAGTTGGTCTCAAAATGCCTCGATACTGTTTATTTGGTGATACAGTAAATACCGCCTCACGAATGGAATCAAATGGTTTGCGTAAGTAATAGCAAATTATTTTTCTTTTCTTTTTCTCATTTTCTCAAATAAACATCCGATTTCTCATATTCTTATAGTTGAATTTTCTTCATTGTTTCTTTAGATGCACTTTTATTTGAATTATACAGTAGTGTTCCATGTTTTTATGTTTCCACATAAAAGTCATGTTATTAAATATATTGACACTAATAATGAATGAGAAATGGTTATGTAGCTTTTATTGAAATCTATGGAAATATCACCATTATTATGCTGATAACAACCTCGAAATTCCGAATAAGGACTATCAATTTTTTCGATAATATTTTTATAACCTCAAAATAGGATAAAAAACATAGTCATGGTTACTAAAACTATACTATACGTTATTTAAACTCTTCATTTAGTCATTTTTCCGTTCGTATGACAACAGTTTACCAGAAATTAATCTGGCTTTAAAACTATGTAGTTCTTTTTAGATCACAGTAAGTAAAACATACAAAACTCAAACGTAAGTTTAATCGAATCATTGGTTCTTATTCCATGCTCTAAAATATCATGATAAGAATTCAAAAATTTCACAACATTTGCGAAATTTTATCACTTCTTATATAACTATATTTTATTATTAACTACATAATACCTCATTACAAAAGCTCTTCGGTAAAAATTATCGACCTTTTTAATGCTCCATAGAGCCAGAAACACGGTACATTTTTCCATATTCTATTAGTTTTCACCATACTTTTCTTCTCAGTGAGTGTATAAAAATATATTTTCGACTTAAGTATAGTAAAAAAAAATATATATACTGTTTAGAAAAGATAGTCTATGCCCTCAATCCGTAAATTTTTATGTTTTAATAGATTTTTTTGTCTAAACCGTATATTTTCTAATTGTATGTATTATATTAACGTAAATTCATTAAGTATTTTGATTTACCCGAAAAAATCATTTCAGCTTTGAAAATTCACGTTAGTAGCAGTACAAAAGAAATTCTTGACGCATTCAATACTTTCAAATTGGAACTAAGAGGTGAAGTTGAAATGAAGGTAAGGGAACAGTTTTTTTTAATTTCATTCATGTATATAGAGTTCACAAATTAAATGATACATGTATTATACAAGTTGTTAAATGAATCGAAATGTTGGTCAGATGAAAGCCATGTAAGATTTTTATGCTGATCCATCTTGTGACTTCTATTATAAAACAGAGTGTAAAAATCGTTTAATTTCTTTGAAACGATATAAAAAACTGACGTTTGAATAATACGGTTTAATTATTATAAATATTATTATATATATATTATATAATAAATATTATTGTAATAAATTATGCTATAAATTTAGGAAATTTCCTCACTAGATTCATGTCCCAAAAATTTGTAATAGTTGTCCAGAGTTGTCCATAAAATTACAGATTGTTCCCAAAACTTTCATGAATTGAAA